TCGAATTGTGTTCGTGCGTGGGTGGAGGGCATGTCTGCCACACAGCTAACGAGAGCGGTGACGGGGGGAGGGGGGGACAGCTCGTCAAAGCCAGCAAACTTGGCCATTTCCCCTTAGCAACAAACAACAAGAGCAGAAGCAAGAGAAAATACAACAAAAGTGCGTAAATTTCATTCAATAAAATTGTTTAGCCACGGTCTGGAGCGCTATGTGCGGCACATGTGGCAGCAACTAGCTGCTGCAAATACTTCGCCTTGTTGCAGTAGTTGCATAGTTTTCACAGCTTGTGTTGCAACTATTTGTTGCCAAGTTGGCACGCAGTAAACGGACTCGTCTTGGTTCCTCGCATTCCACAATCCAGAGCGACAAAATGCTCACCAAATAGTTTTTACGCACACAAATTCCTCAAGTAAAACATAATTAAGGCCAGAATTTTTCATTGCCTGCAGCCATTGAAAATGTGGAATCTCCCAGCATCTCCGAACCTCCTCCTCGGTATATATGTATATTCTTTGATCAGATCGCAGCAACCTTGCAAGACAAGGCTAAAAAATAATTCAAATATCTGAAACTCTCAAGTAGCTTCACTTCAATTACTTATCAAATTCCTATCCGATTGCTTTGGATTATGTACTCAAAAGTTGAACGAAAAATCTTTTTGCTTAATAGGTAAACTTTTTGGGCACGTTTTTGGGATTAAAAAGTTTTGTGCACAAATTTCTACAAGCTGCATTCAATTATTCTAAAGCACAACAAAGCCTTTATGATAAATCAAAGGGGAAAGTTGCCTTCTTTCTGCAAGTGTTGCAAAGTTTCAATTTCAGCTGCAAGTGTTGACAAACGCTTCGGCAAATATGTAAACTTGTTGCAGCCGTTTATCACTTATGTTCAACATCGTCTAAGCTGCTTTATGATATCCAACATTATATATTCTTATGGAAAAGTATATCAAGCGGAAATTCCCTTCGATGAACAAGTGCTGCAAAGTTGCAGTTGCAAGTGTTAATAAACGATTGGGCTGTTCACATATGTTAAACATTGTGTAAACTACTTTGGTACATCAATCACAGTATATTCTTCTAGGAGAACTCTTAAAGACACGCATACCCAATACATAGTTAGACCATTAACACATTGACAGTTGATTGACTTTACTTTAAGCACTTACGAACACTCACAGCTAAGTAGATTGCACTTTCGCCTGCCTCGGCAGTTGCACTCTTGAGCTGTCGTCGTGTCATTGACTACGTCTCTGTCGCGCTTAACCATGCCAAGTACAGTCTGTCCTCGGCATCTAAGCACGACTAAAAAGTAGTTCCACTTGCAGCCAAATTCCTGTGTCGCTTGGGGCGCAACTTTAAGCGCCAACTACATTAACCAACTACTTTCACACTTGAGCTCTGGCCAAGTTTAACCTAGTGATGCCACGCCCATGGCCAAAAGTAATAGGCCGCCCATCTCTTTGCCGAACTACTGTGCTCAGTTTTAGAGCTGAGCACGTGAGCCGTTAGCAATGTTGCACGAGCACGAATTTCGTCTGTTAGATATCGTTAGATATCGCATTAATGCATGCAAAATAAACAATTGCATTATCAATTTGTATGTAACGTAACAAAAAGAACCAAAGGAACAAATTTGTACTTTCCCTTTTTAAAAAAGGATTCTTCAAGTTTTCGTATAATAACCTTTAACAACACTGGCTCTTAAAGTCAGTGCGTGACACGACACGCGCTCATCTCTATGCCCAAAATCGGCCGCAAGAAGTCAGTTTGCGATTAATACGGAAAATATTTCTCGTACTGTTCGCTTTTTTCGCCTTTTTCTTCTTTATTGTTTTTCGTTTATTTTGCGGTCTGTTCTCAGCCTTTGTTGTTGTTGTTGTTGGCGTGGCTATTGTAGCGCATTCCACGGTCGACTTGAAATATGCAAACATTTCGATTTCGATTGAATGGCGGACCGGGCCAGTTCGTACGCATAATTTTTATTGTATTTATTGAATATTTGAAGCATCAAACGCTGCTCGCCCGATGACTCAGCATGAAATTACAGACGTTCTGCCAGCCGACGGGGTGGCTGGCTCCAAAGAGTCCCAACAACATGAAATTCTTGTCAAAGGACAGCTGCCGAGCTGCTGAAGAAGTCGCTGGCTGCTGCCCCATTTGCTATACTCCTAACTACCCCTAAACCCGCACCCGCTCGCGGCCCCAACCCAACGACAAGAGCCATCAATTTGTGTAAATTTGAACTGTCACTTTGAAGGCGTTAATTGGATTCAATAATGTCAAACAGAGAGCGCGCGCGACATCAACAGTTGGAGCCAGTGCAGCAGCAGCAGCAGCGGCGACCAAATCCGTTTTAGCCAACAGCACCCCGCATTACCCACTTACCAACCCATCCCACGCGTCACCCCCCTTTTCCAACACCACTCGATCTTGCTTTGTGTGCTTTGCCAAGTTATATTTAGGACACACGACAACAACATTTTCGGGGCCAGGGATTTCTGTAGCTTAGATTAAGGCGTCGCACCCAATCCTTGGCATGATTTTTAGCTAGAATTGTGGGCGTGCCAGCATCCGCAGCGGCAAACACGTTGCCAAAGCACATGCACTGAGAGAAACGGGCGCCTACAATCACATTTTTTGCCATTTCAATTCAATTTTAATTTCTAACTTAAAGCATGTTTGCAGTGTTAAGTTATAGCTAGAGCTCTTATAAAAAACTTCGCACTCAAATCTAGAGCTCATAGTTCTTCAAAACAAAAACTGATTCACGAAGCGAATCTGGATTGAAAACACGAACCGAACCAAGCTCTAAACTATAGCAAATCTTTTTTCAGATCTGATCATTCAGTTAGTCAATTGTCTTATTGAATCCTTTTGGCAGACTTAATAGTTGTGAGCTTATCTAATCGAATTCATAAATATTAAACAGTTATGCAACACTGTTTGGAACCGAACCAGTTCAAGACTGGAACTGAAACTTAATAATATCTAAATTGAATAAAAAATAGAAGAAAAAAAATGAATCAATAAAAAAAGTAAACAGAAGTGATTAAACAAATCAAATAAATATGACAAAAAATACATCAAATAAATGAAATACAATTTTATTTATATTTTATAAGAAACTTCATTTTCAAACAGTTTGAAACCAAGGCTGGTTTCAATGCAGCGTAAAAAGAGGTTCACAAACCGAATCTCAAGGCGACAAGCTGGTTCGATTCGTAGTGAACATTTTTCTATGCGACTTTGCAGCCCTGGTTCCAATATGGCCAAAAATGCAATGCAAACTTTCGCTCAGTGTAAAAGTCATATTGCGGTGCTTGAATACATACATACACGAATACACACACACATGTATATATATATATATATATATGTATGTGATTATACACTTATATAAATACAAAGTTATATAAGAGGCAGACAATGGCCAAGAGATATATTGCTTTTTATGGCTTATCGGCTAAGGACCTTAATAAAAATGTTTGCCTGAGCGGATCGCAACAAATTGTTGGCCTTTGTTTCGGGTTTGTTATTTTTTCTGTTGCTTTTTATTTTCCTTTTCCATTTTTTTTTTTTTTTTTTTGGCAAGATAAAGCAAAGACAAATTGAAACAAGAATCGCGATAGCATCGACAACGGTGCAGGTCGAGAGCAAACACCACCGAACCACCAAAGCCACCGAACCACCGCAGCCAGCGCAGCCACTGAATCATTAAGATAAAAATGAGTTGAAAGCGGCCTGAATGCGGCCGGATGAAAATTAAATTAAAAGAAAAGAGACGGAAATAAAAGTACACAAAAAAGCTAGCGGGCCGAGAGGCGGTGCACAAGTAATCCAAATGCTGCCAACGTTGTGGAATTTGGTCAAAAGGCTTTTGGCCCAGTTAGCTGGACGCGTTCGCGTGCCCCCGGCTAGTCGCCTGTCAGCGTAAATAAGTGTTGCCTACATTTCGGGGCGACGCTTGCCCCGAAAATGAACCCGGCCTCCAGATGAGCCGCAAATTATGAGCAAAAAGGGGGGCGATCAATTTTTTTGTTGCCTACTTTAGAGCGCTTCCGACAGCTGCTCTGCGTGCGTGTGATAGCACATGAATAAATAATTTGCAGTTTATATTTGAACTAGTCCAGAAAGCGAACATCGCTTAGGCAGCTAAATTAACTGATGAAGTCTCCATTTAGGCGCTCGCACAGCTCGTCAACATTTATTGCCCAGCCCGTTCTAACGTGCACACAGCAAGAGTGTGTCAGAGACAAGGAACAGCTTTTCCATTTACCTTCTTTTTTTTTGTTAAATTCGGATTTTAATTGTTTCAATAAAGCTTTTCCCTTTATGTTTACATCGCGAAAATCGATTAGGAATAAAATGCTTGGGATTCTTAATAGAGATTTCAGTTATTTTCTTAGCAAATATCGACATTAGTTGCATGTGTACATCATGATGTATTCACATATATAAAGACAAATAATATACATATGTCTGGCTATTCTCTGCACTTTTGATAATTACAGGGTATACAAAGAGTGCATATTCAATTAGTAGCACATTCTCTGCGTATTTGATAATTACAGGGTATACAAATATTATATATCCATCTACATATCAAACAAAATTGATTCCTATAGAAATAAGTAACTTATTCTCTGCACATTTGATAGTTACAGGGTATACAAAGAGTGCATATCTGCCATTATCTACTTGTATATTCAATTAGTAGCTTATTCTCTGCACATTTGATAATTACAGGGTATACAAATAGTGCATATTCAATTAGTAGCCTAATCTCTGCACCTTTTATGATTATAGGGTATAAAAATAGTATACACCTTATATATGCATTTAGTAGCCCATTCTCTGCACATTTGATAGTTACAGGGTATAAAAAGAGTGCATATCTGTAATTTTGACATACAGTTCCACCCTTAGCAAGCGATTCTCTTTACATTAAATATTTACAGGGTATACATAACTAATTGATATCTCTGATCTTGTACTTACAGTTTCACCCGAATCGATTGTCATTCCGATCGTTTCGTGCATCTTCGGCTTTCCCATACTGGCCCTGATTGTCATCTGCTGCTTGAGACGGCGCGCCAAGCTGGCCAGGGAGCGGGACAGGCGACGCAACTATGATATGCAGGACCATGCTGTCAGCCTGGTCAGATTTAGTCCAATTCATAGGCTTAGTGAGTTTGAATGTTGTAATGTGTGTACGAAGTTTTCCATTTAACTTTCACTCTTCACCCTCTCTCACTCTCCACTCTCGCAATATGAATTTATATATGCATATATATACGACACGCCTTTATATAGATTCACATTCACATTATCCGATCACGATGTTTTCCATGTGGCACGGACTTGAGCTATTTTCCATAAGTTCACCTTTTCCTCTCTCTCTCTCTCTTCCTCTCTCTCTCTCTCTGTCACACACTCTTGTTCCTCCTGCTTCCTTCTCGATCTCAATGTGTAGTCCTTTTTGTTTGCCAGCATCTTTTGCACTTTGACCCCAACAAAGGCCAGACCCGTTCGCCCCGCCCTTCGCAATTCTGAAAAAATTTCCATTTGCTTTGTTTTTCTTGCATAAATTGCATTTCGAATTGTCAAACAAATATGCGGGCGAGCCTCGCACACACACACACACACACACACACATTATTGGCGCTTTGCAAAGAGAAAAATTGAAAATAAATTTTTGAATATTTATGAACAAAATAACTTTACTTCGAAAGTCAGCGACAAAAACACGAGAGCAAACAAAAAAAAAAAAAACACGGGAGTTCTTTTCAGATGCCAGAAATGAATTTCGGTACAGAATGAATCGAAACCAAGAATATTAATTCATAAATAATTGAAATGAAAGATGTAGAACAATTATTTATCAAGAGCTTTACCAGGTGAATTCAAAAAGATGCCTTAACAGGCGATTTACAAGTTCGATTCAATTATGGAAATGGAAAATTTTGAGAATAGAAAAGAAAAATCTAGAAAAATAATTTACCATGAGCTTTATCAGTCTAATTTAAACATGCAAATGGCAAATTTACAATGATAATTTACCAGTCAAATGGATTTAAGCGAAGCGTCACAACTATAAAAAATGCAGAAACAGGATTTACCAGGAGCTTTACCAGTCAAATTTTGATATGAAAAATCGGAAATTTGGAAAAAAAAACTTATCAGGAACTTTACCAGTCAAATTAATTTATAGAAATAGAAAGTTTAGACCAGGAATTTATCAGTCAAGAAAGATTTACCAAAGCCTTACAAGTTTAATACAAATATGAAAATGCGAAATGGAATTGAGACAAACAAATTTACCAGGAGCTTAACCAGTCGAATGTATATATATAAATAGAAAAGAGAAAATTGAAAGTGAAGCACATTTGTGGAAATGGAAACTTAAGACAGAAAATTCACATGTCAAATTCAGCTACGCAAATGAGAAATTGAGTAAACGAATTTAGCAGGAGCTTTGCCAGTCACATTTGGGCATGCAAATGGAAAGAATAGAAAAGCAAACTGGAGCAAATTGTGGGCGCCAAGTACGAGTCAAACGGATATGAACAAAGCAAACCCTAATGAAAATCCTTTCAATTGCAGCAAAGGAACTGCTTCATCCATTTGCGACTATTGAAAGGCTGTTGCTCGCATTCCAGCACAAGTTGTCATCAATAAATGAAACAACTCAGCGAAAGGCTGTCAAAACAGCAAAAACAAATAGTAAAGCGCAAAAACACTTTTTATAACTTTTGCGAAATGTGGGGAGGGGGGGCTACAAACTTGACCCACTTGCGGACGCTAACAGTCTATTATACCCGAGCTGCGCCCAAGCGAACAGGATATGAAAACGTGGCCAAAAAAGAATTGAGAGCCACGTGCGGCTCCAAGTCAGAGTTCAAGCTGAGTGCCTGCTGCGACTGTTGCGGCGCTCAATGAAAGCGAGCGTTGGCACACACCCGCACACCCGCACACACACACACACACACACACACTCGGAGATATTTATGCTGTTTTGCATGTGTCAAGCACAGGCAGCAGCTGCTGTATGCCAAACGGCCGTACGCCCGGCTGCATTTGCATTTCCATTGCATACCTTTGGGCGCTTGTCCTCGTTTCCATGCGCACAACAAATATGAAAACTCGTCTTTTCACTCGATCCACACCAGCACCTACCCCACACCGTCCCCGCCCTCCGCCCCCAGCCCTCTTAATCAGCAATCCCAGGCGTCTTCACTGCATGCACGGACGCACGGACAGGCAGCAACAACTTTTTCATATGCCCTGTTTACATAAATATCCCCAGTAAAGGGTATAAGCTAGTTTATGTACATAAAATTGTCTGATTGATTGATTGATAGACAAACTAGCTAACTGACTGATCAAATAGTTTGTCTGACTGGTTGACTGACTGTCTGACTTATTAACTAGCTAACCGACTTGTTGTTTGACTGAGTGACTGATGGCTTGATTGTGTCGTTGATTGATTGACTAGTTAACCGCCTGACTGATCGATATACTGACTGATTGATTGACTTAAAAACTAGTTGCTTGACTAACTGACAGAGTGGTTAAATGATTGACTGGTTAACCGACTGTCTGATTGATTGACAAAGACTCTGGTTGCTTGACTGACTGACAGAGTGATTGTTTGATTGACTAGTGCACCGACTGACTAAGTGAATGGCTGACTGAGTGATTGATTGACTGATTGATTCACATACTGGCTGAATGACTTACTCACTTGAATAACTGACTGACTGACTGACTGATTGATTAAGCGATTAGGACTAGCTAACTGAATGAGCAAGTAATTAACTGATTTACTGACTGATTAACTTATCGGTTGGGCAATTGACTGACTGAAGGTTTAAATGATTGACTCGCTAACTGACCAGCTTATTAGCTGACTGGCTGAATTTTTGATTGATTGATTGACTGACTTCAATACAGAGTAACTTGCTGATTAATTGACTGCAGCAAATGCTTATTGGGTTCATTATCGATGCAATATGTAAGGAGGTTAAAAAGTTAACAACACTTTTGCACTAACAATAGGGCATCTTCGAGTCGAGCTCATTCGATGAATGCATTCAAACTTGTTATAACTGTAAATTTCATATTCAGTGTTTGCTTTGCCGCTGGATGCGGGTGCTGCCCCGCTTTGAGCGGTGCACAAACAACTTGATGGTGGTTATGATGATAATAACGATGTTGTTTTTGTTGATGATGATGATGATGATGTAGGTGACACGATAACGAAACGTTGACAAACCGCAAATTATACTTGTTTTCCCCCACTACACCCCCACCCCCCCAACCACAACATGTTTTGATGGTTGCAAATTTTCGTTTTTGCATAAATTTTGAAAACAATTACGCATCACCGCAAGCACCGCACGAAACCCACAAGAAATCTCACCGCAAAAGGGCAGCCATCAACACAGTAACAGTCAGACAGTGCACAGTGGTGTGTGTGTGTGTGTGCGTGTGACAATCTGCGTATGGATAGTTTCGTAAGGCTTTTGGCTGCAGTTTGACAAGCACTGATCTGCAATTAACTGCGGTCGCTGCTGTAATCAGTATTTAGGCTGATAATTACAACAGCTAGCTGTAGCTTACATAAGTGTTAGGGAAATACATATATGTCGAGGAAATCAGCTTACAAATCTGATATATTTAACTGCTGAGCTGCAGTTTTAAATGCACTGATATGCAATTGACAGCTACTGTTATCACTGCTCAAGCTGTTAATTAACATTGTGTCTTAAGGAAGTATATTAATATAAGAGGGAATTCGGCTAATGGGTAATTTGAAATCTGAAGTTTAATAGCGAAAGCTGCTGTTGCCAACGCTGACGCTGTTAAATATAAAAGCAAGCTGAACCTTAAGCATAAGAATGTTAATATAATAGGGAAATCAATATATTGCCCCACTTCACTTTTAAATGCAATCGAATGCAGCAGCTAAACGCTGAAGCTGTCAAATATAACAGTAAGCTGAAGCCTAAGCTTAACAGTGTTAAGACAGTATATTAACATAATTGGGAAATCCGCTATTGGGTAATTTTAAATCTGGGAATTTTATATTGCCCCACTTCAGTTGAAAACACACACACAGAAATGATTAACAGCGGCAGCTGCTGTTAATTGAGTTTGAAAGCGATTGTAGCTTAAATAGTGAAAAATCACTTACGTATTGGTTCCACTGTGCGCACGTTCTGTCAGCTGGCAAGCGGGCGCGTGTCCCTTGTGTTGGTGGGCGTTGGGCGGGGTTGGCGGCCTGCACGTTTTGATACTCACATTAAATTTGAGCTCGTTCTCGACGTCGCACGTTTTCACTTTATCTTTGGTCACACGCAAACGCACACGCACACGCACACGCACATACACATATTTACAGTTACATTTCCTTTCCGCTTTGCCGTAGGCGATTTGAGCAACTTGTAGCTAATGTAAATTGCTTTTGTTTGTTTATTTCTTTGGTGTTTTTTTTGTTTTTTTCTTTTTCTCGTTTTGGTATTGTTTTTGCCACTTTAGATTACCGATCGTCGCGAGCTATCAGTCTACGTCCTGAACGAAGCCTAAGCCAGGGCTTCACCTCGCTGGAGCTGGACACGGTGCTGGAGGAGCGCTGCAGCGACGTGGAGCAGACGCAGACCGAAATACTCAATCCCGAATCGCCCATGGACACCAACTCCTACAAGATGTCCTTCTCCTCGAGCTAACAGTTAGCAGCACAACAGCAGCAGCCGAAGACGACGACAACGACGTCGACCTTGCCGACAGCGCAGCCGCAGACAGCTGCGCTGGCCATGCAGCAGCTGCAGCCGCGCACGCCGTCGACAGCGCCGTCGCCGTCAACGCTGACGCCGCCGCTGCGCAAGGTGGGCAGCCTGCGTGAATCGCACGATGCCGCGGCGCTGGCCAAACGGCGCAGTCGACTGCAGGAGCTGCGCGCTGCCAGCAGCAGCAGCCCGGCCAGCGAAGCAGCGCTCGCGTTTGGCGTCGGCAAGCGCGGCTCCAAACGTGAGCGTCGCCCTGCCGCCGGCAGCAGCAGCAGCAGCGCCACTGCCCTGCGCAAATCGCAGTCGCTCGACGCAGCCGAGAGCTACTCGCTGGCCAGCATACAGTCGCCCTTGTGGGTGACGCTCACCAATGCGCGCACTATCGAGGAACTGGCGCAGCAGAAGCTCTAAAAGATGAAAGACACTCAAGAAACGAACAAAAATAACATATACATATATACACACACACGCACACAAAGAAACATATACACACATACACACAGATCACTAACAGACGCGGCTTGTGTTGTTGCCGCTGTTAAATGTTAATGTGGAGCTAACTCTTACCCTGCACCCCTGGCGCATCTTGAAACGAAATCCAACGGTTTTTTCTTACAGCCCGAAGCCACCTTGTAAATGTGTAAGCCAATGTAAACACAAACAATATATAAAAGTATTTAACAATTTACAACATTAGAAAATGCATAAATTTAAAACTAATGACCAAAATTAGTCCAAAATAAAACTGAAATTAAACGAGCGCGTTTTCATTTATAACTGCCCGATACGCACTGTTAAGCTCAAAATGGCAATGTTATGGCAAGACAGAATGCAACTGTGCACTGTAAAGCGGAAATACCGTTTGATTCGCAGGCCCCAATGCAATTGGGCTGTGATTGTCAAACAGTATGGCGGGCATTTCAAATATCCAGCGCCGAAATACATTCTACATTTATTCATATATTTCTTTGTTTTTATTTAAATTATCTTGTATATGTAATAAGAGCTTAAAATACAAATTTAATTTCATTATCAAAATACATTGTTATACAATTTCCTTAGTTGCGTTTTTGTTTCCTTCATACGTTTTGTTACAGATCTTTAGTTGCTTGTTTCTCTTAACTCTTATTTATGTTCTCAGTTTAGCATTTTCATTTCTTTACTTGCACGCTGCATTTATTGTTTTTTTTTTTTTTATTATTTTTTTTTATTTTTATATTTATTTATTTGTATATTTATAATATTAATTAATAGAAAATATACTAACAAAAAGAAGAGGTCGCCTTGGATAAATATGCCTTGCTACATATATCGATTCAAGTGCTTCATATACATGCGTATAAAGTACTCATATAATACAAAAAAAAAGGGGGGATAGAATACAAATTTCATACTTGAGAGTGGCCAATTGAAATTCCAAAGAAATAATTAGAGGCATAAAAAGTACAACTTATTTCGAAAAAAAAATATATATAATAATATTTAAAATAAAAAACAAACAGAAAATATGTTTTTACAATTGAACTACTAAATTGCAAGCACTGTGCCCCGTGTCTGTGTGTGAGTATATGTGTGCCCTGTGTGTTTTTGTGTGTGTGTGTATGTGTGTGTGTGTGTGTGCCTGGTGGGAATTGAGGGAGCAGAGCCTGAGCAAAATTAATTACTGCTATTTATCGAAGCAGAGAGCGATAAAAGTTAAACAAAAAATAGTTGCCAAAATCATATGGTAAAAAAAAAAAAAAAAAAACAAACAATAAGACTAACTAGGAGAAGCACAAAGTACACGTGTTTTCGTATTTGTTGTCTTTTTTTTTTTTTTTTTGAAATTTTAGTTTTGTGTAGGGTAAAGTATTTTCATGCAATGCCACTCAAACTGTCTCAAATAATGCATATGTTAGCTTTCAGTGTTGCAAAACACATTAGCAGCATTCAAAAATCGTAGCAGCTGCTGTTGCTGCTGCTGCTGCTCTGCTTGGCTTGCGTTCTTTTTATGCATTTAACATTATTCTAACTGTTAAGATAATTGAATTTACACACGATTCTGTTAATTGTTGTTGTTGTTGCTGCCGGTGCCGCTGCCAGTTGCCGTTGCATGTCAGATATGAGCGATATCACGTTGATAACAGTGACCGTTAGAAATAATTATCATTGACATATATTGATATATATATATATTTGTATTTGTATGCCAATTCACAAGCAAATGGCATTGACAGTTGCAATTGCTTGATGCGATGGAAGGGCTTGGGTTGTTTGGGGGAACAGCGTTCTGGTACCTGTTACCACTGATATTCTGTCACGACAGTGACTCGTTACTTGCTGTTGACAAGTAACAGGTACACGTTTATACGTTTATTACTCACACCTCAACTCCACTACATGTGTATCGTGGCCGCCGTGTAGCGCGCCTCGCCGCGTCGCCATGACCATTGGCTGGGACGGAACTGTTGTGACAGAGAGAGAGAGAGAGAGAGGAAGAATTCGTTAGAGCTCAACAGAAAACGGCGTGTATGTGTGTGTGCAAGCGAGACAGATGCCAAATGTTAATATGCTGTGTACTGTGTACTGTTAACAAACCTGATGTAAATGCTTGGACTGCATGTAAATACATTCATATTATTCAGTATTTTAGTCGAAAGCTTATTTCTTTATCGATAGACTCACCTGTATGAGCAGCTGGCCGCTCCGTGTGTGCGGATACCGGTACGCATAGAAGAGCCACAGTGTCACCGCGAACACCAGACAAATGGGCACCATAAAACCAAAGGCAACGCCCACGCTCTTATTCTCCGGCAGCACGGCGCCGAGATGCTCGCTCTTCTCGACATTAACGCCATCGCCCGACGCCGACTCAACGCCAGCCGGCGACTGCGTGCTGCTCACTGTTGGCTCTGCGGCCGACGTGCTGGCTGCGGGCGTGCTGCTGCCTATGCCAGGGCTGCCGTTGTTGTTGCTGCTGCTGTTGTTGTTGTTGTTGTTGCTGCTGCTGCTGTTGTTGTTGTTCTCTTGGGCAGCATTGTTGCCCTTTTGACCCAGCGCCGGGCAGGCGGCACTGTTGTTAATCATCGAACGATCGCAGCCTGTAAATGGCGAGTTTTCAAATTAAGTCGATAACGATAACGATAACAATAAGTTAGCATAGATCCTAGCACGTCGTTGGCTTTTGATTCTATAAGTTGATTTCCAATTATCGTTAAATGTGAATTATTGCTTGTCGGACAGGCTAAATTAAATTTGATAATTATACGAACTATGCATGCACGCTTATGTGCATCTATCGATAACGATACGAAACAATCGAATAAGAAACATTAATTACGGAAGGTTGCAACTTTTTAAGCAGTATCAACATTTCGGACAAAAAGTCTAGCAAAATGTTAAGGAAATCAAGGCTTGTTGCCTTTCTCATCATATCTATCCCAACGAAGCATGGGGAATAAAGCTTCCACATGCAACCATTTCTATGGCAAATGCCGTCAAGAGTATCCCAGACATGGCCATGGATTAAGATTTACCCTTTTGCTGCCAATCCTGCTTTCTGCGATCGTTGCCATTATTTGTAGAGCAGCGATTCAGTGTGGGGCACCAGATGCACTGTACGGAAAGAGGATATAGAGATTAGCTGAATGTTGGTTAACTCCGGTCCTAGCGGGCGACTCACCTCAAATGTGGTATTGTGATTAATGCACGCCTGACAGTCGCTGTAGCCGAGGCAGGTGGGCAAGGCTGTTAGCACAATGATGGTGTTATTTGTGATCTCCTGCTGTCTGAATGTGACGCGATGGTACTCGTAGATGGTCTTGCGGTGCGCAACTAAACAAAAGAACAAGCAAAAGGTTAGACAGGGCACATATGTGTATAGAACGCTTAGAGCTACATACAGTAGAGCATCTTGTCCACGATATAGGCATCGGATAGGCCGACCTTGACCGGATGCTGATGGTCCTGTATGTTATTGATCAGCGTGGGCAGCTGATAATAGACAAACACAATATTGCCAGTCTGATGCAGCGTTGCGCTAAACGTAAACTTGCCATATTCGGGCTTATCCTGCAGTGTAACATTCTCCCAGACGACGGTGAAGGCGGTGCCTGCAAAATATTTTAGAGATTTCTTAACAAACAGCCGGCATCTAGATTATTAAGTGGACTAACCATTATCCTGTAGCCGCACAAACGAATCGTCCGATATGCTTGTATCAAAATTGGCCATAAGTGGCGCTATATATTGGGTGGCCGCCAGCCAGTAGTGCACATACTCGCCCGTATAGAGGAAGCCGCCAGTGGCGACGGTTATGTTGCGCACGTAATGCCCATAAAATGGAAAGTCAAACTTTAGCTCAACGGTCATGGCCCGGCGATGCGACGAGGACAATATACTGTTCTCGGGTATTGCACGGAATTCAGTCCAGAATGTGGACGTCTCCTCTTTGCCCACATAGAGCAGACTGCGATAGTAGTCAAAGTGATCCTCGGTGCGTGTCAGCGAGGCATTGGCCGCCTCACTGGTGATTACCTCATCGGGCACATCCACATCATCGATGAGCGCTCGCTCGGTTGTTGTTGTTGTTGCCGCCGCTGCTGCTGCTGCTGCTCCTGCTGCTGCTGCTGCTGCTGTTGGTGTCGCCTGGACGGATGCCACCTTTTTGGGATATTGCGATGGCTGTGAGGCCATCAATTGGGTCTTCTTTGGCGGCCCAGCCGGCGCTGCGGCCACATTGATGCTGGTGGTGACATTGCTGTAGTTGCTGGCATCGCCGCTGGCATTCTGCTGCTGGGTGCTGAACTCCTTGCGCTGGCCGGTGCCATTGACGCCCACGTTGTGCACATTGTAGGAGACGCTGCCCATGGCAGTTCCCTTGCCGTCCACGGTGGTGGTCACTGTGGCCTCTGCCGCAGCAGCGTTTCCGCTGGCATTCACATTGGCGCTAACGCGCTGATATTGATTCTTTGCATCCTGCACGGTGGCCACAATTGGCGTCGAGTCTGCCGTTGACGCTGGGGCGGCACGTCGCTGACGCAAACGCAACAGCTCCTCCGGTGACAAGCTAACAATTGCATCCGGATTGATGTATCTGAGTTGGCTGCCGAGGCTGCTATAGGATGCATCGGCAGCTGTAATGTAAGAAGAGCAACAGAAGAGGCGTCACAACACAATTGAATAACCCGACATACCTATATACTATATGCATATATCTATATAATATATATATATATATATATATATGCACATTCTTATCGTTTAATGGTCGCAAACGAATTGTGATTTTATTTGTCTTTCTTCGAAATGCGCCTCATTGTCTTTGATAAAAACCTGCACGCGAAACGTAAGTCGCAAATTGAAAAGAACTCTCTAGAGGTTATTATTATTGCACATTGTGAGCTTGGCAAATCTCTTTCTTCCATCTCGAGTATATTTTTTTATGAACCGTATAGTGCAATAGTTTTAATCCGTGCATTATTTTTAAATACTATCAGTTGCGTTTTGCGTGCATTTTCCACTTGCTGCAAATACCCAGAAGTGTCAAAGATTTCTAGTTTATTTGTATATACATAAATATATATATTTGCGTAGGCATATGCAGATCGATAGATGAGTAGGGGTATCCAAGAAGTGAGATTTTTCCAATCTATATTTGCCATGCAACAGAATATATGTATACAAAATTTGAAGTATCTAGCTCTTGAAACATCTCAGTTATAGGCAAAATAAACATTTGATCGATTCTTATCGATTTCATGTAATCGATGCAAGTTATCGATAACTCGCAAATAAACAGAATATGCATATATACATATATATATATACTTGATCAGGTCGCAGTTGCTTTCGTCTGCCTGTTTTAACCACTTTCAAAGGGGTTCAATTTGATCGATTCTTATCGATTCCATGTAATCGATACAAGTTATCGATAACTCGCAAATAAAAAGAATATATATATATATATATATATATATATATATATATATATATATATACACTTGATCAGGTAGCAGTTGCTTTCGTCTGCCTGTTTTAACCACTTTCAAAGGGGTTCAATTCAGTTCAAATTCTTACTGCA